ATTCGTCCTGTGGGGAGAGGGGGGGGGGGGGCTGGGGGGGGGCTTGAAAATAGGTGCGTTGGGGCGGGGGTAGCTTGAGGCGTGCTGGAGGTGTGCCTGAGGTGTGCCCGTCCCCACTCATTCCACCCCTCCTGCGACAGGCCTCCGCATCGCCGCAAAGGGCACGTGCGATCTGACGGACAAACGCCGGTGGGCGGGCGCCAGTGCCAGCTCGTGGTACGCCACCTTGGCTAACGAGCTGCCGCCCGCGCCGCCGGCTCCGCGCATCCAGGCTGGCCGAGCCTTGGCGTCGGTGGGCACGGCGTCGGTTCCGCCGCCGTCCTCGGTGGCGCCCGCCCCCCCTCTCTCGGGGTGGCAAGGCGGCCCACAGAGCGGCAGCATCTGGGACCCGGGAAGGCTGACTGACGGCCGCCCTGCGGTGCTCTGGAACCACTGGCCGCCCGGCACTGACGGCAACTCCTTCGATTGCCCGCTCCCGAACGACCTGCCCGAGCCGTGCCGTGCCGAGGGGACTGTGTGCAACTGGGTGCAGTCGTGGCCGTTTCCGCCCGCGCCGCCCCGCCCTCCGGCACCGCCGCCGCTCCCTCCAGCGCCGCCCCGGCCCTCCGCCCCCTTCTCTCCGCTCACTCCCCCCACGAACCCGGCACCGCCGCCGCCTCCGCCTCCGTCTCCGCCTCCGTCTCCGCCGCAACCACCTCCTCCTCCACCGCCTCCGCCTCCGCCGCCGCCGCCACTGCCACCGCCACCGCCACCGCCACCGCCATCGCCACCGCCATCGCCATCGCCGCCCTTTGACGTTTTCACGTTCTGGTTCATCGATCCACCAAACCCGCCGCCCTCGCCACCGCTGGCGCCATCGCCGTCGCCGCCATTGCCCGAGCCCCCCCTTCGACCCCTCCTCCGGCGGCGCCCGCGCCAGAGGCCCTCTCCCTCGTTGCTGTTTTGGATCTGGTTTTGGATTGGGGCCTCCTCCTCGTTGCTGGCGGTCTCTTGGGCTGTTTTGTGGGGACAAAGATGCTTGGCTTCGGGGGAGCGAATCCCTTTGGCCGCATGGAGGACGAGGGCGCGTCCGGGCTTCTCGAGGCGGCCAGCGAGGCCCCCCCCCCCCCCCCCCTTCCCTCCGGAAGGTGGAGACCGAGATGCAGACGCGGGCAGACGAGTTCGCGCGGGGGCTGGTCGCGGACGACGAGGGCGGAGGAGACGGAGAGACCAACGTCTCCGCTGTTTCCGAGACCCGGGGGCTGATCGAGAAGGAGGAGGGCGGAGGAGAGGCAGCGTCGGCCAACGAGGTATGCGTAGAGCGCGCGCGCCACACGCACTCCACGCACACGCACGTGCACGCGGGCACAACCGCACGCGCGCGCAAGAAGCACAGCACTCTAGCGGGGGAGGCAGGGGGCGAGGGCGGCGGCGGGGAGGGGGCGGTGAGCTAGGAGGGCCTAGAAGAACCAAGGGGGGCCGCGCCACACCTCACGGCACGAGACCTCGCCCCCCGTTCCCGCCCGGAGGCGGTCTTTATCGAGGAGAGAGGAGAAGAGAAGAGAAGAGAAGAGAAGAGAAGAGAAGGCGGTCGGGGCCGTACTTGCCGTCGACGAGGCGGCGCAGAGATGAGGAGAAGAGAAGAGGAGAGAGGAGAGGAGAAGAGAAGAGAAGAGAAGAGAAGAGAAGAGAACCCTGAGGTGCAACTCAGGACGAGCCTGGCGTCGGTCACGGCGTTGCTTCGTTCCGAAGAGTCGCTCCTCACCACACTATCTTACACTAGGCGGAAGAGGAGGACGAGGCGCGGTCGCGCACGGAGGACGCCGGCGGGGAGGGCGGCGGAGCCTCAGCGGCAAACGAGGCGCGCCACCCCCCACTGCCTCGTCACGTGCCATGCACGCAGTCCCGCACACCCACTCCCCACCCCCGCCCCCGTCCTTCCCCGCCCCCGAAGGCGGCGGCAGCCCCGGACCTCGTCGCGATCGAGGATGCGCCGGCGGCGGTGCCCACCGCGGGCGTGCGCGGGCGTGGCGACGCATGAGTATGGTTCAGAGTTTACAACACACCTTGAGTAACATGAACATGTGAGATCATATAGAATATAAACTTAGAGGCTGCGCAGGCCTCCCCCGGTAAAGGGGAAGGACCCTGAGTTGAACAGGGGTTGTGCGCCAAGCCCTCCTGCTCGGCTCCAGCGAGTAGACAAGTGTTACCATCAACAGAGGAGAAGGGGATATGACCTCTCAGGGCCGATGTGGCCAAGCGCTGGTAGCGTGGTTTAACCTCACACTCATGGTCTCACAGTGTGCCGGCAGTCGCCGAGCAGTGTCGCTTACACAAGCGGCAGCACAAGCGACTGAGGGCCACTGAGGGCGAGCCCATCGGTGTGACAGCTATGGCAGCCGCACAGTAGGCTGTGTCAACTGTGCAGAGCGTGTGAGCAGCAGAGGAGCTGCTCTCCAGGCTTCTGTCGCAAGGAGCTGCATGCCACCGAAAGCGCTGTCGAGGTTCGCCGAGCGCGGCGCAGGTTGGAGGACACCGTCACCGACGAGCGCGTTGGACTTCGGCTCCAGCCAGTAGACAAGTCTTGTCATCAACAGAGTAATAGAAAGATCTGACCTCAGGGCCGATGTGACCAAGCGCTGGTACCGTGGTTTTACCTCCTCCCACCCATGGTCTCACAGTGTGCCGACAGTCGCCGAGCAGTATCGCTCACACAAGCCGCAGCACAAGTGACTGAGGGCCAGTGAGGGCGAACCCATCGCTGTCACAGCTGTGGCAGCCGCAGTGGGGGCTGTGCCATCTGTGCAGAGCGTGTGAGCAGCAGAGGAGCGTGGTTTAAAACTTCTTTTTCTTTCTCTTGTGAATCCGCATATGCGACAGTCTACTGACAGACACTACACTGACTTTACCTCCGCCTCTGGGCCGGCGCGGGGGGCCCAGAGGGTGTCCATGCGGGGGGGAGATGGGGTCCCATGGCCCGCCGCAGGCGCCGATTTTTCGCGATTTTTTTCTTTTTGGCGATTTTTTACTTGTTTTCATGGGAATTCGGCGTACTTGCGGCCATGCTATCACGCCTTGCGACAGCCTGTCGGCGCAGCTGACCGTGCCATGATGCACAATTGATCACCTGCATAGCTCGCGGCCTTAGTATCAAGCATTCAGTGACGACCTGATCGTACGGCCAGTAGGAAGGTGTCCTTCCATCGTGTGCACGCTTCTGGCGCAATGCGCGTCACCTCGGATTGGCTGCTGGCACTCTCGAGGCTATGCCTACACAGCCTCGCGCGCATGGGCAGTCAAGAGGGACCACGCACCTTCTCAGGACAGCGCCGGTGCCTCTCTCTTGGACCGGCAAACGTGGTGGTCTCGTGTCACCAATGTGGGACCAGTGCGGCATCGCGCCATCGACAGCTCTGAACTGCGCCTCACCACTGACCGGGAAGGCCGCCAAGTGGGCCAGCACAGGTCGCACATTGTGGCAGCAGTCAGCAGTGCATGTCTGATAGCTAGAGCAGCAGCGTCAGGGCCGCAGGGTGCGATCGTGTCAAGCCTCTCGCCCGGCCGGCCGCGTGCACACGTCGGCCCCTGTCTGCTGTCTGGAGTGATCTGTCGGCGGTCAGTACGACCGATCAGGTCGGAGTTTTCTGATGGTTGGAGGGTCTATCTGTATGTGCTCCTCGAGATCTTTCCAAATCTGCCCTCTGATTAACCTAGCTTAATCGGGAAGTCGGTGCTAATAGAGACTAATAGAGCCGGGCCCCGTTTCCGCACTGCGGCGCGGCGCACGGTGCCTCCGGGGGCCCCCGCGCCGGCCCAGAGACCTCCGCCTCCCCGGGCCGCTCTCCTCCTTGTGAAGTAGAGAAACACTTAGAGAAACAGCGCCCGGGCCCCAGCGCCACGGCCCACGCGATCGTGGTGTTGCAGAAACTCTCACACCACGACCAGACCCGCGACTCATGTCTTCCAACACGTAAACCCTCCCACCTCGACGTGCGTGTCGCGCGGCGTTGCCCACTCGTCCGTCGCGCCGCCAAAGAAGAGGGTGAGCAGCAAGCCGAGCGGCTCCGGCGGGCTCGCCACGACAGCGCCGATGAGCGGGCCACTCTGTGGCGGATCGACGACCGCAACGGGCTGCTCGTCGACGTAGACCGCGAACCGCCGATCCGCACCGCTGGGGACTGCGGCCGACCGACTAATCACCACAAAGTGCCACCGATCCGGCACCCAATGCCAAGTGCCCAGCCGCGTCACGGCGCCAGCGTCGCCGCCGCGAGGGCTCGTGAAGCTGACGTGCCCGCAACCGGCGGCGCGCCACCCGAGGGAGAGGCGCAGGCCGCTGTCGAGGAAGACGCCCGGCAGAGTCCCCCCGAGGGCCCACTCGAAGCCGCTGGGAAAGCGGAGGGCGTAGCTCACGGCGGAGAGGGCTGCGGCGTCCGTCCCCGGAGGGAGCCGTGCGTGCGCGCGCACCGCCACCCCCCCAACCTCGAGGCCGGACGCGAGGGTCGCAAATGGGGACCAGCTGCCGCGTGGCAGGGCGACGCGCAGCCGCTCCGCTGGGGCCACTGAGCAGGGAGCCGCTCCTGCCGCCGCTGCCATCGCCGCCGCCTCCGTCCCGGGCTGGGTCGGCCCCGCCTTGGGGAGGGACGGCCCATACACGACAGCGCAGTTGCGCATGCCGCGAGTGGTGAGGAGGCGCCAGCCGCCCCCGCCGCCCCAGAGCAAAGGCGGGGGAACACCCTCTGCGACAGCGGCGCGAGGGGGCGAAGCGCCCACCTCGACCGCCACCGCGACCGCCAGTGCCGGCGTCGGGGGCAAGCCGGTCGCCGTCGCCGAAGTGCAGAGCAGCGCGGCGAGGCGCAGCCGCGCGTCGAGCGGCGCCGCTGCCTCCGCGACCAGCTCACCTCGCCAGCATAGCGTCTGCACAGACAGCGCGGCGGAGGCGGTAGGAGGAAGCTGCGCGGCGGCAAAAGCGGCGCCAGCTCCCCCCAGCGAGAGCGACTCGCGTGCGTCGACGGCCCGCAAGCACGCAATCGCGGCAGCGTCGTCCGAGGCGGCGAGCACGGCCGCAAACTGCCGCTGCAACGCAAGCTCGCGCTTGCAGCGCGAGTAGAGCGCCCGCGTGCGAAGGAGCTGGAGGCGGTGACCTCGCGAATCGGCGGCGCGGAATGTGGCGTGCCAGTCGGGAGAGCGGCGGTGCGGCACGTCAACGGCGAGGCCGCAGGGGAGGACGCGGAAGCGTGGCCGCTGCTGCTCGTGCAGCTGGAGGAAGAAGAAGACCTTGTCGAAGCCGTACCCTCGGAACCGCTCCTCGTAGCGAGGCAGGCGGCGGCGCGAAGCGAGCACGAACGGCTCGTAGCCCTCCTCAAACTCAACCGCGTACCCAATGCTCTCGCCGTCTCCGCCATCGCCGCCTCCGTCGGTGCATTCGCCGCTGTCGGCACTCGACCCGTCGCCGGCGTCGCCAGCGGAGGCCACCTCGTCGGCCCAGCGAGACAAGTCAGTCGCGCCGTGGCCCTGCTCATAGTGCAGAGAGTGGAAGCTGCGCAGCGCGCCCGAGCGCACGCGCTGAGCTACGGCGGCAAGCGGAAGGCAAGCGATCGACACGGAACGTCTGATCGCCTCCGCCTCGTCCTCGTCCTCGTCCTCTTCCTCGTCCTGCTCCTCCATCGGCTCCGCCCCCGTCGCCTGCTGCAACTGCTCCGCCCCCGTCGCATGCTGCGCCTGCTCCGCCCCCGTCGCCACCTCGGCCTGCGCCTCCTTGGCCTCCCAATCGAGGCTGATAGCCTGGCGCGCGCCCGTCGAGGACATCTCGACGGCTGGCAGCACCCACACCTCTCCCGCCTCGCAGCTAGCAGCGAGGGCGCGGCGGAGCCGGGCCGCGCAGAGCCGCTCGTGCAGCCCTTTGCTCGGCAGCAAGTCGACGTCGAGCAGGAGGACGAGGTCGGTGCGCGCCGCTTCGAGTGCCGCGTTCCGAAGCGCGTTGATCGGCACGAGCGGCGCGGCGCCGCACGAGCTGCCGCCGCACGAGCTGCCCCGGCGAGCCGGCCTCAGCAGGGTGAGGTCGAGTCGGCAGCCGCTCCCCTCTCGCTCGAGCTTGGCGTGGAGCGAGGAGAGGCGCGCCCGGGCGCGCCACGCGGCGGCGGGCCGCCTCGGCAGGAGCACCGCGGCGGACACGACGCCGCTCCACAGCGAGCACTGCGCGGCGAGCCTCTCTATCCGGTCATCCGTCAGGCAAGTCACGAGCGTGATGTCGGTCGGCGCGCGCCGAAGACGGCTGCGAAGCCACGACCCGTCGCCGCCCGCGCCGCGCGCCGCGACGAGCCTCGCCTCGCCGAATCGGAAGCGCAGCTCGTACATGGCGAGCGCCTCCGCCTCGCTCGTGTCGCTCGCGAGCGCCGCCCCGACATCAAAGCAGCCCATCGGCTCGACTGCCCCGCCGCCGCCGCCGCCGCCGCCGCCGCCGCCGCCGCCGCCGCCGCCGCCGCTGCCACACGCCGCGCGAAGCCTCTCGAGCCTCGCGCGGTCGTACAGCGCCTTGATGCTCGGCAGCAGCCGAGGGCCGGGCTCCGCTGCCGCCGGGTCGCCGAGCACGGCCCGCTGCGCGTGCGAGGCCGCGTGGCGCGCGTGAACGACGAAGTGCGACGGCACGACTTCAAAGGTGAAGCCGCAGAGCCGCGCCGCCTCCCAGAGCTGGAGGATCTTGTTTCTGCCAAAGCCGGTGAAGCGCTCGTCGTACGGCGGCACCAGCCGGCGCGAGGCAACGACGAACGGCTCGAACCCCTCCTCGTGCTCGACCGAGTAGGCACCGTCTGTCGCGAGCCACCGCTTCGAGTCGGTCGCGCGGTGGCCCTGGGGGAAGGTGTCGCCGCAGCGGCCGTCGCTCGCGAAAGTTCGGGCGCGGCCGGCCACGACCGCCGCCGCCAGCGCCGGCTTGCCCCCGGCTGCGAGTGCCGCGGCCTCACAGGCGTCTGCGCAGCTCTCAAAGGCTGGCAGGACCAGCAGCCGTCGCTCCTCCACGCACCGGCGGCGCAGCTCGGCCGCGCTCCCCGCGACGGTAGAGTGCAGGCCAGTAGACGGCAGAAAGTCGACGTCGAGGAGCAGGACGAGCTCGGTGGTGGCGAGCCGGAGCGCAGCGTTTCGTGCCGCGTTGATTGGATAGAGGCCGAGGCCACCGTCCTCGTAGAGGGCGATCGTGCGTCGCACAGGCAACCCGACCCCGACCCCGCACGCGCCAATCTCGTCCACTGCCGCCTCGATGCGCCGCCTCGCCTCGCGCACTGCGACATGCTCTCCCGTGGCGCCATCGTAGGCGACGACGGCGGCGGCGACTGCGCCGCGCCAGTGAGCTGCCTGAGTGATGAGGCGGCCCAGCCGATCGATGCTGCACTGCGTGACGAGCGTGCAGCTGTCCTCCCCAGCCTCGCCAGTGTCGTAGGTGCGGACGTGCTTGAGCGGACGGCGAATGGTGATTCGAGCAACTGGCCGTAGCCGCCCCGCGCTCTTCGCGGTGCAACGCAAAGAAGACGCAAGCCAAGATGCTGCGTCATCTTTTTCTTTTTTCTTTTTTCTTTTGGACAAGAAGACGACGAGAGTGACAGCGAGGAGGAGGGGGCCGAGAGCGAACACGAGGGGAGCGAGGGGCGGATAGCACGATCGATCTTCGGATCAATCCACGATTGCAGCCTGACAAGGCCAACGTCGGACACCGCGTACTCCATCCTTGCGGACGCTCTGCCGCTCGGACCGCACAGATGCCGCAAGCAGCGCCGGCGAGGCATCTGCGACCTATGCTATCTGCTCCGGGGAGAGACTGTAATCGAGACCACTCGGCACCTGGCCCTCGAGTGCCCTTACACAGGCCTGGTCCACGAGGCCGTCCTCCGCACGGTTCTGGAAGTCACAACGCTAGACGATGCGGTGCGGGAAGAGACACGGCGTTCGCGATGGCAACAACTCGCGCACGAACACCGCCGACTCTGCATAACCGGATTTCGGCTTACTACGAGCAGAGGACAGATGGCGGAGGGGCGAATCGGGACAACGCCGACACGCGTGATGATGTTGGAGACGCTGGCGGGCATCGTGCGGCGGCGGCACTACAACGCGAACCTTGCACACGACGCGACGCCGGACGCCCGAGTCGACTCCATCTTCAAGTACGCTAGAGCGGCACTCGTCCGCCAATTTTATTACACGGCGAAGAGAGCACAGCAAACCGAGCGGGAAATACGCCTTCGCATACCCGGATGGCAGCCCTCGCCTGGGGAAGGACCAGTAGCAGAGTGGGAAAGGGAGTGGCTCGCATCCGGCTTCTTTTCTGACGACGGCCAATGCGCGCTTCCGGAGAGGATTCAGCTTGCCCGCGGCATCGCTGCGAATGATTGCGCAAGCAACACGATGGCACTACTCAGCGTCGAGCCTTGCGATAGGGGCAGCGCTCCCCGTGTTAAAGTGCGGCTGATGGTGGAGGCGCCAGGGGTTATACTTCGACCCTGTCGACGGGACGGCACCACGCCCCAACAACAGCAGCAACCGCCCGACCTGGACGGCGTACACTGATGGGTCGGAAGATGGAGGCAGGGCGGGATGGGCGTACGCCGTAGTCATGGGCGGGGACGGCATAAGCGACGAGAATGCCATGCTCGTGACCGAAGGCTACGGCCCCGTCGTGACTAGCCCCGTACACGCCGCTTTCGTGGGGGCGCGGAAACACACCAATAACACGGCGGAGCTGTCAGCGCTTGCGGAGCTCTTTCGCTCACTACTCCACACGGCACCACGACCAGCAGGCTCACGAGGGGTGGTCCGAACGGACAGCGAGTACGCGATGGCGTGTGCGACGGGGAGAATCTCCCCGGGGGAGAACACACAACTAGCGAGCTATCTTCGAGCAGCGTGGCGACATTTAGCGTCGAGGCACGAAGTGACATGGAGACACGTCAAGGGGCACAGTGGTCATAAGTGGAACGACTACGTCGATAAACAAGCTGACCTCGGCAGGAGCGGCGCGAGGGATTGCGGCGCGCCGGAGTGGCAGGACGGGTCTGTCCCAACAGACGCAGACGACGGGGAGAGCAGCACCGTGGGCGACGACATGCCTATCAACGGAGGAGCAACAACCATCCCACTCGACGACATCGGTGATGGGGCCTCTAGCTACGCCGATGACCCACCCGACTCCCCCGAAAACGAACCGCCGCCTAGCGCCCCGCCCTCGTCGCCTAAAGCCCCCATCGTGGAGCAGGGGATGATATGGATTTCATACACGCCGAGCGCGCAGGCGCGACACATCGGAGACAACAAGGGGATCCGGCGTGAAAGAGCTATCGACATTGACGTCGACCCAGCCGATTCCACCGATGTCGACGTCATCACCTCCGCGGCCACCGCGCTTTCGCTCGACGACACCGTGGAGAATCGCACCGAGGACCTTGCCGAGGCGATGGGCCGGATCACTTTGGACCCCGACCCCGCCCCCACCCCTCGGGGTGGGGGCACCCGCCCCTGTCGGGCGCCGCTTGCGGCGCCTGGCAGGGGCACCCCCTGGGTGGGGGCCGGCGATTCCCATGCCGGCTCTCCGCCACAACCCCCGCCGGGAGGGAATCCCTGCTCACAGAAAAGGGCTCCGAGCCCTGTCTCGCGCACGCCCCTGGCGGGCGCCGCGGACCAGTTCCGCGAGCGCTCGTCAGCGGGTGGTGTGCGGTTCTTGCCGTAGTTCCTCTTCGGTCGCCTAGCCCCGGCGCCGTCTGTCGGACGCCTGCGTGTCACGAGTGCGAGCCGCTCGCGGCTCGTACGCCCGCTTGCGGGTTCGAGTGGCGGGCCATCCCGCTTGCGGGATGGTTTAGCGGGTTCGAGCCGTCACACATTGGCTGCCGGGGTGACGTATCGGCGCTCTCGGGCACCAAACGCGTCGTGGAGAATGTTGGCGTGGTCTCCTGGAAGCGCAGCGAGGCGGGCACGTCCGGTGACGACTTGCTCACTTAGCACGAGTCGATGTTTTGGCTCCCTGCCTCTCTCTCGAGGGGTTCTCGAGGTTGATGTCTTCTCTTGCCGTCACGTCTCGACGCGGCACAACCACAAGTAGGCCATAGAACGCCAGCGCACCCATTAGCGTAGCGGGGCCCATACTTTAGACAGTTTGTGCTAAGACGCGCAACGGAGTTTTGAACTTGAATGTGGGTGTTGCACGCAAGACTCGCCTGGGCCGCTCACGAGAGAGAAAGAAAGAAAACGCTAAACGGACAGCCGCACAGCTAGGGTTGCGTCGAGGAAAAAGAACGAAGAAAACAGACACGCGAAATGAGGGATGGGAGGAGGACATCCAGCTAGGCAGGGGGGTGGGGATCCTCGTCCTGCGGCAGCGGCGTGTTGGCTTGGCGCTGCTTCGCCACGTAGTCCATGGATGGCTTTGGCTGCTTGGGCTGGGAAGGGAGCCTATAAGGGGGAGATCCCCGTTGACAACACGCTGGTCTCGTCGGGAATGCTCTCTCATTCGAGTCGACGGGGCTTCACTCGCGCTGCAGCTCCTGCGGCGTGATCCCAAAGGAGATCGCGGCATCCTCTGCCACCAGCTCTTGCTCGTACGTGGTTCCGGACGATCTGCCGCACGTGATGCAGAACGTGCAACACGAGCATACCGTCCCAGTGCTCTTGATGGTGAGTGGCGCCAGTGACGCGACTTGCCACGTGTCAGAGCGTACGTGCTTTGGTGCGATCATCCCACAGACCTTGTGCCTCGTCACGAAGGTCGTTGGGGTGGCCTCTGTGATCATCAGCTTGTACGGGATGAGATCAAGCACGCACACCCCACAAAGTCGGGCAAACCACGCGCTGTACCAACTCGTCGGAATGAACTGATCGCCCGCACGAACGAGAGGACTCATGTTGAGCGATGAGAGGAGCTTTTGCTCGGTTTGCCCGAGGGCGTTGGTCTCCGTGTCGGTGCAGCGGAAAATGAAGGTCGCAGTGTCGGGTTGCCACCTATCGACCAGTGTAGGCACGCCCGACAGTTCTGGACGCGTTTGGTACTTGGACATGCGACACGCAACAGTTGAGAGCACAGTGGCGACGAGAGAATGAAGAGAGGCGAGAGTCCCCACCTCTCACGTGCAGAGATTTTGAGGACACGCCGAAACGCACAACTGAATTCTTTTGCCTAGCTAGCGCCGCCGCCGCCGCCGCCAGTCCGCACCTGTGTCGAGCCTGTCTGCTGTGAGAGAGAGAGTTAGCTGTTCTCCTGCAATTCTTTTCCCACACTCCAGGGGACTCCGTACTGCTGTGAATACGAACCCATCATACTGTGACCTGGTAGCATATGCCCCGAACGAGCGAGGTGAACGTGCGGCGGCGGCGGCGGGCACTTACGATCAGACATTGAAGCGCTCCGGCGAATGCATAGCGTACATCACGCGCTCCCCAGACACTGACTGGCGAGGCGGTGGCCAAATCACGCTAGTCGTGCCCAGCTCGCCATGGGGCTGTTATCTACCCTTATAAGTCTCTCAAGTCTCTCGTTTGTGCCGCGTCCCGTGCCCCCGAGTTCATTTTATATATAAGTCTCTCGTGTCCGCGCCGACGCTCTTTTAACGTAGAACGTAAAAGCTGAACACTCGAGAACACCGCCCGCCGACGATCGATCAGTCCACAATCGTCGGCCCGCAGCGACCCGCAGCGATGGATGCCGCCGCCCCCCCGGCCCCTACGGCCGACGCGCCGATGCACGACCGGCCTCCGTCGGACGGCTCTCCGGCCTCTCCGGCCGCTGCCGCCCGCGTTGCTGCCGATCCAGTCCCTCTCACGCTCAGCGATACCCGCACAACCTACGACAACTTTGAGGTCGCCGGCTTTGGCCAGGTGCAGCCACCACCTGCTTGCCTCCATGTTCACGCTTCGCGCCCCTCCCCCCCCTCTGACGCCGCCGTATGACCTTAGGTGAGGGGCACGACTACCCGCCTGGAAGGCGCTCTCATCAGCAAGTCACCCAGGCACCAACTCCTGGGCGTTTACGCTTGACTACGAAACCATGCAGTGGATGCAGCTCGATCAAAACGGCGACGCCAACAGCTGGCCCCTGGGCGAGTTCCTTGCGCTCAGGATGAGGTGCGAGCCATGATGCTCGACTATCAGCGTGCACCAAGTCGCTCACATTCCGTGAGTTCGTCAACGGGCCGAACTCTCCAAGTCGACGGCGATCTCGAACTCTGACAACTGGACCGGTGCACCAGCCGCGGAGGACGATGGCTCCCTCGACGACATCCCTTCATCGACGGACGCCTTCACCGCCGCCGGCCCTGGGCCATCCAGCGCGGCCTCCGACGGCCTGCACGTGATCGAGGTACAGAAACGGTGGCTGCCGCAGCTCACACCCTAATCTATCTGCCTTAGGCACGGAGCCAACGGAGCCATCGCGCATGCCCGCATCGCGTGCGGCTCCGAGGTCTCCCGCCGAGACCGGCTCGGCGCGGCGCGTGGCCGCACGCCGCCGTCGAAAAGGCGATAGGAGAGGGGAGAGCGCCGGCCACATCGAGCGAGCGCTGACGTGTAAGGTGTCTGCGCTGCTCCGGTGTGTGTGGGATTATGCCTCCCCCCATCTGTGCGGCGAGGTGTTTGCGGTGGGTGCGATGGCCGATCGTGCGCGATAGCCTCCTATTGTGCGTGGTGTGTCGGTGTGTCGGTCGTCCGGAGCGTGTGGCGGCGCCGTTGCATGCAGCGACTCTGCTCACGTGCCAGCTGCCACGACTGAGCTTTGACTGACTTATGAGTGCTGATGGATGATCTCCGACAACCCAAAACCAAAATGAAAATGCGGAGTGGCCCCACTTTGGCGTGCAGATCCTGCGTCTCTCACTGCCCGCGAACAACAGAGGCGGGTCCGCCGCAGGTCCCCCACTAGTCTCGGCGGAGAATCTCTCTCGGAGGAAGTCGCAGCCGCCGCGCCCGCCGTCGCCCCGACGCGCAGTTAGCTGCATTGCCCCCGTGTGGGCGTGCAAAAACATGCCCGGCGTCAAGCATGCCCTCTCACAAGATGGAAACGCCGCAGCCGGCACCGCAGAGCTTAGCGATACTGCTTCCACGGCATTAGCGATACTGCCTTCCACGATCGAGCGCAGTGAGACGCAAGTTCTGGCTGCTGAACACGCGGGCACTCTGCGTTCTAACGCCAAGCGCGCGCGGAGGATCAACACCCGCCTCTGGCCTTGAGGTGGTTCCCACAGCAGCTGGCCCAGGGGCTGTGGCCCTGCGCAAAGCGCGCAAGAAGTTGCCGAGCGTGCCGGGGTCCAGCCGGCCCCGCTCGGGGAGTTGAAGGCGGCCGCCGGTAGTGACGCGGGCTCTTTGGAGAGGCCTCAACGCACCACGCCAGTGGCGGCCGCCACTCCGACGCGCCGCCGGTGGCGCTGCGCAGAGTGCGCAACACCACCAGAGGTGCGCCCAAAAACCACGAGGTTCGCGCAAAAAAGAACACTACAAAATAGAGGGGAGGGAGGGGGGCGAATGGGGACTACTAACAGGCGCGAGGGTAAGTAAGGTAAGGACTAAGGTAAGGTAATTTTCTCCACACACACAAAGCGGTGGGGCAAGGGGGTGAGGAGAGAGGGAGGGGCTGTGTGTGCTGCCGTGTGGTGTGGTGAGAAGTGCACTAGCTGAGCTAGGTGAAAGGGGCCCAGATCCAAACCAACTCGGCGGCATGTTGCGGTCTCCCTCATTGGAGCTCTCAAAAGAGGTCTCTGCATTCCTCTGGGACGTCGAGACCGAACGCGAGGTAGTCGGTGCGATACAGCCTGCGCGGGCAGCAAACAGCGAGATCAGCCGGCGCGCGAGCGAGACAGCGGGCACAGAGCGTGATGGTGTGAGAGCATGCCACCTGCAAACCGACCGCACTTCCTCACGAGAGGGGAAGACGACCTCCGCATTCGTAGTTGGGTTTGAGCGACGCGGTACAGGCACGTCCCTCCAGGCGAACGCGCCGTGCGGGTGCTTCAGCCGCTGCAGCACATATTTGATGGTGGTGTCCAGGTGCGGGCCCATGAGCGCGACGTAGTTCAGCGGCACCTTGGTAGCGTTCTGCTGCAGCATAAACCAGTACTGCGGCTGGAAGTGCGCGTTCCAGAAGCCCCTCGAGTGTATCGACTCAACGAGCTCGCTGACCGAGGTTCGGCGCAGCGGTGGCTCCCACCTGTCGTTGTACTGGGCCCACCCATAGTGTTTCCTTCTGCTCAGCTCGTGCAACGCGCTCACCACTCGGCTCAGCGGGTCCCGAACCACAGTAAAGTACAAGGCCGAGGGCTCGCGTCGAGCGTCGGAGACGGCGGGCGGCTCCCGCTCGGCGAAGAGCGCCCTCCCGTCGAGTTCGACCGGCGTCCCGTGCCAGCCGCAAACGTGGTCGTGCTGCCGCCCGTCAAAATATCCAGGGTGGGCCGAGAAGCAGACGCTGGCCTGGCGAGGGCAATAGTCGCGCATAATATCGGTAAAGGTGGAGCCCGCAGATTTGTAAACGTGGTAAAAGAAGGCCGAGCTGCTCGCGCACACCATCACCTCCTGAGAGGTCATCGCCGCAAACCCGCTGACCAGTGCTCGTTCTTGCCAGATTGCGGCGCTGAGGTCAAAGGCGTTGAAGGAGGCGGCGCGGGCGAACCCATTGGCAACTTCCGCGCAGACGGAGGAGGGCGCGTCAACCAGAGGCGGGCAGTCGGGCGGCGGCGGCGGCTGTGGTGGTGGAGGAGGCAGCTGGGGCGCTGGCGACGGAGGCGTGGACGGCGGCGGTGGCGACGCGGAGGGTGGAGGAGGCGCCGGCGCCGGCGATGGAGGCAACACCGAAGGCAGCGGCAGCGCCGTCCTTGTGCCCGGAGTGGCATAGGTAAACGCATGGAAAGCAGCTAGCGCGAAGAAGGCTCCCGCCAGAAAGAGAACGGTGCAGGCGCAGCCCACGGGAAGTACGCCGTAGCGCCTCAGTTGGACAGCTACCGCAAAGGAGGGACTGAAATCTGAATTTTGGCCCGGAACAGAGCTCAGTTCCACTGCCTCCTGAACAGAGCTCAATTCCACTGCCTCCTGCATTTGACTGTACCCACGATGCTTGGACTGCGGCCGTGCTGTTGAGTTGGTGGGCAGCTCGAGGCTGACCTCCTCGTCGTGGTGCCTGTCGGCGGTGGTGCTTGTCGTGGTTGGGGAGGCGTCAACGCCACCCAACTCGGCTGTGCGGGATCGCTGCTTGCCCTCCGCACCGGCATTCGCGTTGGCATAGGTCGTCAACGCACGTGCGCAGGCTCTGGTGTCTACGACGCTGCGGCGCTTGAGGTCATCGAGCATCCTTCCCGGCGACGACGACACAAGTGCAAAGTTAGGTGTGAATGAACGGGGCGAATGGTCGGTCCTCAACTCTCCATTCGCGCTCTTCTTTTGCGGAACACCCGCGCCTTTCTACCCCTCCATTGCCCTTGCAGCCAAGCAGCACTGGCGGCGGATCGGCGGTCGTACTTCGCGATGACGCTGAGGTGGTCGTGGAGCGTGCACTTCGCGCGCGGCACCCGCCGCGACAGCCGGGCAGGCCTCTCGCGACGGCCGACGATGGCGGTGGGGTGGGGGGGGGGGGGGGGACTAGCGTTCGTCGACGGGCGCTCTTCCGCGCCTTCGGCGCAGCGCAAGTAGCCCGGGATGGCCAATGGCAGCTGCAGCGCACTTGTGCTCGCCTCGTCGCAGGGTGAGCCGGCCCACCGTCCACCAGTTGCCAAGCGACGCACGTACATCGAGATGGAGCCAGCCGCTTCATCGGCCGCCACCAAACCGCACGCTGGCCTCACTGAGTTGACGTGCCCGACAAGTGCAACTTTGGCATTTGGTAAAAGTTGCCCGAGTGGTCTGTGGGGAAAAAACCAAAGCGGAACGGTGGCCCCAAGAGCTAAAGGTCAACATCCCCTCCGGCTACGACAATGTGAACCTGATCTGGTCCTCACGGGGTTGACCCGTCTCCTCCAGATCGAGACGGACTTCATGAACGGCCGAGCAATATTTCTTCATTACAATTATTAACTGATGCCTTTTGCACGGCTGAGCCCCCCCCACCCCCCCTCCCCCGCGCCCCTTCCCTGCCCTCTCCCGCCACACACTCCGTCAGAGCCCCCTCCCCTTTCTGCACAACAGGAATTTTGACAATTAACCAGATGGTAATTGATGGGCTTGCCCATCCCGGAGTGGTTCGACCCCACATAAATCCGAGACGGTGACGGGATGCTGTCGTACGATGGTCGCAGGCCCAGTGAGGTAGTGCATCTGACATCCCGGATCCTGCTGAACAAGCTCCTCTTGTAGCTCGATGCCTCGATCGGTCACACCGCCATCGCCGTCGGGGAGAGGGGGGACGACACTGCTTCGGCAGCGTGCACCTCGATCCTGTACCGTGTTTGTTAATGACCCCCCCCAATGAACACGCCAGAGAGGGAGGGCGAGACGATCGAGGGGTCCCGTACCACGCGGAATCGACCCTATCCAGTGCTCAAGTGCTCAGAAGCTCACATCGCAGACAGCGAGGGTGTGAGAGGCGGACCTAAGGAAGGTTCACAGTAGGGTGATAAGAAACAAGAACCTCGTTCACAGGTAGGTATAAGCGGAGCAGCTGAGTACTATGTGAGCATATCAAGATCACCCACTTACTCAATCGATATCCCGCAGGGGCGTGCGCGGGCGTGGCGACGCAAGAGTATTTTCAGAGTTTACAACACCTTGTAAGTGAGATCATACATTGAGTTCTCTGTGAGACACTCGGCCGCCGCCTCACGGGGCGCGCCCTCACGCGGCGGACCGCACGGCCTGCCTGCCGCGAGGGCGTGCGGGGCGGCGGGCGGGCGGGCGGGCGGGCAAGCATGCCCGCTTGGCGGGCGATCCGTCGGCGCCCGCGCCGTCGCCGCCCTCGTCGCCCCGGTGCTTCTTGGCGGACCGTGCCGTCTCGGCCGGACCGCTCGGCGTGGCGGCGAGCGGCGCGCGGGTGTGCGGCGGCGGCGGCGGCGGCAGCGGGGGCGCGTCGGCCTTGAAGCGTGCGTAGAGCGCGGCGATGCGCATCTTGTGCATTGGGTGGGCGGCTGGGCCGAGGGTACGGGTCCAAGCTGCCGACTTCGCGTGCTCATGCGCGGCGGCAAAGTGGAGGGGCAGCACGACGAAGCGCGCGCCGGCGGCGGCGACGGCGCGCAGGTGCTGCACCTTGTTCATGCCGTAGCCGCGGAAGCGCTCGTCGTAATTTGGCAGCCACGCGCGCGAGGCGATGATGTACGGCTCGTAGTACTCCTCGAAGGCGACCTCGTACGGCGCCGAAGCGGTCGCCCAGCGCGCCGCGTCGGTGGGGCCGTGCCCGTGGCGGAAGTGAGCCTCGTGGAAGGAGGAGGCGGCGCCGCGCCGCAGCAGCGCAGAGAGCGACGACTGCACGCGCGGCATCGGCGCGGCGGCGTCGACCTCGAAGGCCGGCACGACGAGCGCGGTGCGCGAGGCGGCGAGCGTGTCGAGCAGCGCCGGCCGCTGCTGCTGCAGCTCGCGCAGCAAGCCTGCGGAGGGCACGAAATCGACGTCGAGGAGGAAGACGAGCTCGGTGCGCGCCTCGCCAGCGGCGAGGTTGCGCAGCGCGTTGATCGGGTAGAGCGAATCGTACTCCTCGGCTGAGCCCGGCTCGGCGCCGCCCTCCGCCATGCCGCCGCCGCGCGCGTACAGCAGCGAGATCGAGAGCTGCGTGTAGACGGCGGCGGGGAGGTGGCGACGCTCTTGCGCCAGCGCCGCCTCGCGCTCGGCGGCGGCGGCCGAACCGCGCGGCGCGTCGATGTAGACCGCGACCTGCAAGAAGGTGCGGAGGGGGCTCAGAGAAAGGTCCGAGGGGCAGCGGCGCGTCGACGAAGACGGCAGGCCGACGCGGGGCCGCGCCACGCCTCGAGCGTTGCGCGCAGGCGGGGGAGCCGGTCGAGCGAGCACTGCGTCACGAGGGTGACGCGCGCGGACATATCGCCTGCGGGACATGTCGCGGACATGTCGCGGACGGGCGTCTCCGACAGGAGCAGAGGAGCATAGCAGGGGAGAGTGCGCACCCTCCGGCGGCGCGAGCCAGCCCTGCACCGTCGCGTAGGCCAGCGGCGTCATCCGGCCGAAGAAGCTGTCCTCCGCCTCGGCCTTGCGCCGAGCCCACTGCCGCTCGATCGACAGCCACGCGCCGCCGTCGCGTGCAGCAGCGGCGGCGGCAGCGGCGGCGGCGGCAACCTCTTCGAAGCGACGCCGCTCTGAGGCTGCGAGGGCAGCCACCCTCCCGCTGCCGCCTATGAGAAGAGAGCCTCGCCTCTGCGTTCCCACCTCTGTGGGCGCGCATAGTGTTGAGTGTGCGGCATCTGCGCCTCCGCCCATCGGCCCGCCGTCGGGCAAGTCGCGCGGGCCAGCGCCGGCGTACATGTCGACCGCGTCAGCCTCGTCGCCCACGCCGGCGTCGATGTCGGCGTCGGCGTCGGCGTCCTCGGCAAGGTCGTCCGCGGTCGGCTCGAGGACGGTATCCTCGCCAAAGCCGTCGCCGACCGGGTCCGCCACAGCCTCGTCGCCGCCGACGTCGCCCTCGGCGTCGTCGGCGCCGCCCTCGCCCTCGCCCTCGCCCTCGCCGTGGTGGTGGTGGTGGTGGTGGTGTTCGTGGTACCCGCCGTAGTAGCCGCAATGGTGGTGGTTCCAGCCGTAGCAGTAGAAGCCTGGGTAGCCGTAGTACGGCAGCCCCCAGAAGAAGGGGTCGTGGTAGTAGTACGAATGCGCGTAGTGGCGGTAGTGGTACGGCCGGTGCGCCATCAGCGCGGTGTCGCGGCGGTACGTCTGGTAATGGTGGTACCCTCCCAGCCCGCCGAAGCCCGACTGCTGCTGGTCGAGGTAGTACTTCCGGTCGCCGCGCGCGTAGGTGTACTGCTTCTGGGCTGGCGGGCGGTACGGCGCCGTCGCGGCCGGGTTGGCGGGCGGCGGCGGCGGCGGCGGCGGCGGCGCGCTCGAGCCGCGCGACGAGCTCGCGACGGCGGGGATGGCGACCTGCAGCTGCGAGCCTGGCCCGACGCCCTGCGGCACCGTCACCTGCACCTGCCCTCCGGACGGCGCCGCCACGAGCAGCTGCATGCCCGGGTACACCCCCGGCGGCACCGCCACCAGCATCACCTGCTGCGCCTGCTGCGCCGCCGGCGCGGCCGGCGCGGCCGGCGCCGCCGGTAGCTCGAAGGTGGGGCTGACAGCGGGCGGCGGGCCGGAGGTGGCGCGGCTGGCGACCCGCCCTGCGGCGGACGCCTCGTAGACGGAGCCCTTGACGAGCATCGCCTAGTCTCGGGGGTCACTCGGGTCATCTCGCCTAGCCTCGGAGACGGAGTGGCTGGACGGCTGAAGGGGGCCGGGTACGGCAGCGGCTCGGCGGCTGTCGCAAAGGCGGCCGCGCTCTTCGCGGTGGCGGCGTCCTCCTCGACGGCGGTGGCGGTGTAGACGGGCGTGCCCATCGACACCTCGGGCACGGCCGCGGCCTTGGCCACCGCCTTGGCGACGGCGGCCTCGGCGCGCGGCAGCTCCGGCTTCGGGTACGAGACCATCGGCGCGCTCGCCGCCGGCGCGGCAGGCGCGAGCTCGGCGGCGGCGCCCTTCCACGCATAGTCGCGTGGCGGCGGCTGCGCCATCGCGGTGCGCAGCTCGCCGTAGATCCAGTTGCGCCGAGCGTCCCAGTTGGTGTAGTAGCCGGAGCCAAACTGGCCGGGGCGCTCCTTGCCGGGCGGCTCCGTGCGCACAATCCCCGCCTCGAGGCGCGGCGGCGCCTCGGCGCGCGGGTCCTTCTCGCTCAACATGCCGTGGTACTGCACCTCCGCAGCGTGGAACTCCGCCTGCGAGCGGTGCATCCTCGCCTCCTGCAGCAGCCCCTGCACGCGCGCGTCGAGAGTCTCCTCCGAGGCGAACGTGTCCTCGGCGCCCAGGACGAGCGCCTCCCACTCCTCGCGCTGCGCGGCCGGCATCCGCTTCTGCACCGCCGCCAGCGCCGCCGGGTTGAGGTACGGCTTGCCCCACGCCCTCCGCCACTCGCCGAACCAGCCGACGTCGTGGCCGCGCTTGCCGAGCACGCCTGCGTGCCTGACCCACGCGTCCAGCAGCTTGTGCCGCCCGAGCCACACCTTCTCCTTGTTTGCCTCGCGCAGCGCGTCCGCCTTGCCCTGCGCCTTGGCCGCACTCTTCGACGCCTCGCTCGCCAGCTTCGACTCGGCGCGCATGTTCTTGCCGGCGGCGGTGATCGTGGCCACCTCGCCGTTCCGGAGCACCGACGCCTGCAGCGACGCGCAGACGGTGCGCAGCTTGTCCTTGGCCACGCGCGCCCTTGCCTGCTCCTGCTTGGCGCTCTTCAGGGCCGCCATGCCGCGCTGCTTGACCGCGTGGTTGCAGTAGCCGCCGCGGCCGTACGCCGACTTGAGCAGCTGCCGGGCGGCGAGCTCGTCGCTCAGCGAGCGCTTGTACCGCGCGGCGGCGGCCGCGAGCAGCGCGGAGATGTCGTCGTCCGGCAGCGCGAGGCTGTGCACCTTCTTGTTGCCCTTGAGCGCGAGGTTGATGCTCTTCAGCCCGTCCACGCCGGCCGCGTTGTTGTCGATCTCGAGCCGGCGCAGGCTGCGGTTGAGCTTGAGAGCACCGCCCAGCGCGCTCAGGCCCACGTCGCCCAGGTTGTTGCCCGAGACGTCGAGCAGGGTGAGCGAGCTCGACTTTGGCAGCGCGAACCGGAAGAGCGACTCGAGCTGCACCCCGTAGCTCGGCGCGGCCCGCTGCCGGGTGGACGATCGCCCATCCGCCGCCGGGCACGTCCCATCCGGCTCGAGCGAGCGGTAGCCGCCGCCGCACTTCAGCGCGGCCAGGCCGTCGGCGGTGGTCACCAGCCGCATCAGCGAGCGGACAGACGCGGCGCGCTGTGCGACCGCGCGCTCGGTGCCCGCCGGCAAAGCCAGCTGCCACCGGCTGACGACTGCACTCACGCCCGCCGGGTCGGTCGCAAGCTGGTCGAGCAGCGCGAGCGCGTTGAGGTCGTCGAGGCCCCAAGTCGAGACGGCGGCGGCGGGCGGCGGCACCGCCGAGGAGAGGGTGAGCGAGTGGAGCCGCGGCGTCCCGCTCTCCTTCGCCTCCGCGTCGAGGTCGGCGAGCACGCCTGGAGGAAAGTTCCGAGAAGGCTCCGAGAAGGCTCCGAGAAGCTGGCCTCCGCGTCAACGCCGACGAGCACGCCGACGAGCGCGACGAGGCCGTCGTCGCCGAGCTGCCCGTCGCCACGCAGCGCGAGCGAGGGCGGCAGCAGCCGCGAGGAGCGCAGAGCGGGCAGCAGCTCGGGCAGCAGCACCGCCGCCGGGTCGGCCGTCGAGAGGTCGAGCTCCATGCCTGGCCGAGCCGCCGCCACCGCGACCAGCCGCTGCAGGAAGGCGGGCCTGCAGACAGAGAGACAGCTGTCCACGCGCCCGGCGGAACGAGACAGATGTCAGCAGACTCGCGGGGGCCTGTCCGCCGCAGCGCTGTTGAGCATCGCGAAGTCCCCGCCCCCCGCGAGCGAGAGCGCTGCGAGCTTCGGGCCGCACGCCTCGACGCCGTCGAGGAGCGGGAGCGACCAGCCGATGCCGGACAGGTCGAGCTCGGCCAGCTTCTGCAGCGCGCGCGGCTCCGGCCTGGCGGAGAAGGGGTCGACGCTAGCGGCGGCGGGGCCAAACGCTGCGGCCGGCTCGAGAGCGGTCCCGGCGAGGTCGAGGGCGGTCAAGCTGGGCGCCTGCGGGAGGAGGGTGCCGAGGGCCTGCGAGCCGCGCCCGCCCAGCGTGTTGCCTCCCAGCCGCAGCTCGAGCAGGTTCTTCTGCGTGCCGGCGGCGAGCAGGACCATCTCCATCCCCTCGGGCCCGACGCCGCACCGCACCAACTTGAGCTCCGCGAGCAGCCCGGCGCGCAGCGAGCGCAGCCCGGCGGCGAGCCTTCAGAGAAGGGGGGGCGTTGTGAGCAGGCGCGCCTGGACACAGGGACATGAGGCAGCCGCCCGGTGGCGAACCGGAAGGCCGCGTCCCCCACGGCGTTGTCCGAGAGGTCGATGACGGAGAGGGAGGCGAAGCGGTTGCCCGCGAGCGCGTCGCCCAGCGCGCCAATCTCCGCCGGGCCGGCCCCTACAGGAGAAGGGCTGGGGATGGAAGAGGAAGGGGAAAGCCGCCAGGCGCGTCCCGCCGGGCCAGGCGCCTGCGCGGCGCATCTCGAATGCGACCAGCGTGCGGCTCGAGCCGAGGAGCGGCGCGAGCGCCGCCGCCTCGGCGCCGAGCGCGTTGCCAGACACCTTGAAGGCGACGAACGCGCCGTTGTGCGCGAGCGCGCGCGCGAGGGGTCGCACCGCCGACGGCCGCAGCCGAGAGGCGTCCACCTCGCCTGTGGCGGCCCACTCGCGCACGCACTGCAGCGCGGTGGTGACACCGGCGGCCTCGTCCACCGGCGAAAGCACCTCCTCCACCTCGACCTGGCCGAGAGCATTCGCGTGCATCGTCCACGCCGCGTGCAGGTTGCCGTCCACCTCGCAGACGGGCGGCAGCAGCTCGAGCGGCGGCACCGGCAGGCCCGTCTGCAGCTCTATCCGGCCGGCTGCGAGAGAGTGCGCGACCCAGACCTGCAGCTGCAGCTCGGCGGCCGCCCGCGGCGAAGTGGCGACCTGCCACGGCGGCTCGCCCGAGGAGAGGCCGAGCCGCAGCAGGCCGGGTGACGCCTCGTCGAGCCGCGCCTACTCATCCATGAGGGGCCATGCATCCATTCGTCGTTTAGCCGCGCAGAGGAGCGGGAAGGAGCGGAGAGAGCGGGGAGGAGAGAAGAGGGGTGTGGTGCTCGCCGCGCCTCGCAGAGCTGGGTCACGTGCAGCGTCCGAAAAGCCGCGCCGCCCGCGACCGCAAAGAGGCGCCCAAGCGAGGTGAGCGCGAGCAGGCAGGGCTTGGCGTCCAGCGTGGCGTGCGCGGCGAAGAGGCCCTGCTCTCCACCGTGAAAGAGGTCGTGCTTGCATAGCGCCTTGTCGACCGCGCTCGCGTCCTTGGGCTTGAGTGGCTTGAGCCCTTCCGGAGACGCCTTGGTGCCAAACACGCACAGCGGCCCCGCTTTCTCCTTGACGTCAATGGCAAACGTGGGTATGGCGTCGGGTCGCACGTTGGCTAGGTCCGCAAAGAGCGAGAGCCGCGACTTGCGCGCGCGGACCACGGAGCCGTCGTCAAGGGAGAGCAAGATCACCTGCCGCTCAGAGCCGTCCGTCTCGCACGAGAAGCAGGCGCCCATCGCTAGGAGGAGGCCGAGGATTTGCCGAGACGCGTTAGGTGCGAGTTCTTTTTGTCGAGTTTTTTTGGAATCTCCCGCCCTAGGGGATTCGAGGATGCGGTGTCGTTCTTTGACCAGATATCTTATGAGCTACTTGATGTAGGAATGAAGACAATTGGTGTACCTGAGGGTGTCGGTCGTCGAGCCCTACAGCTGCGGAAGAATATGGAGCTGGAAATACAGACTGCGGGAGCGCCATCGCCGTCGGCCGTACCGTCGAGCAAGGCATCGCCTCCGTCAAGACCTTCGTCTTCGAGCGTGATGCCGCGCCTCGCACGGCCGGCGCCCTTCGGGCCAGCGCGCGAGACGCCTGCGCCGCCCTCGACTACGACCGGACGCGCCCTGCCGCAGCCCAAGGGAGGGATGGTTGCTGTCTCTCCATTCTCGAGTGTCCGTAAGAAAATTCTTTTCTCGCAGGAGTCGCTTAGGCGGCTCCCGTGGTGTACCTGTGTTAGTGCCAGTGCGCGCCAGTCCCGTGCCCAGTGTTGTGCGAGCAAGGGATAAAATTCTTTTTCCGAGCGCCTCGCCAGGGCTTTGAATTCAATTCAATGCTGTCGGCTCCGAACGGCGAGACGATCCACTCCGCCAGCAGCCCGGCCGGCCGGCCGAGCCGGATGGAGGGCTACTGGGACCGCGTGACGTGCGCGGACCCCTCCCCGATCCGTGCGCCCGCCTCTCGCTCGCCGGCTGACGCCCGCCCGCTCTCGCGACCAGGGAGCTGACGCAAAAGATCAAGGGTCTCGAGGCGCAGCTGCAGGAGCTGCAAGAGGAGGCCGAGGGCACCGCCGCGGCGCTCGCCCAGAGCGAGGCCACCCGCGGCCGGCTGCAGGGAGAGCTGGACGACGCCCGCGCGCAGCTGCGCCTGCTCAGCGGGCAGCTGGCGCGGGCGCAGGCGGTGGCCGACCAGTGCGACGAGCGGGTGCGGCAGGAGACGGCGAGCCTCGCCGCCGAGCTGGCCGAGATGCGGGCCAAGCCCGTGCCGCCGAGCCCGCGCAAGGTGCAGAAGCAGGTGCTCGCCGCGTTTGATGTCGCGTCGAGGGCCGTCCGCTCAGAGCTGGCGGCGGGCGCGGGCGCCGGCGGCGGGGGCGATGCGGCCGAGGCGGAGGGCGCCGGCCAGAGCGGCGACGAGCCGGCGGCGGCTGCTGCGGAGGGCGAGGAGGAAGCGGAGGAGGAGGAGGAGGGCAGTGGTTGCAGCATCGAGGAGCGTGCAGAGCGGTACCTCCGCGAGGCGATGGAGGGGGCGGCGCGGGCGGTGGAGCCGGCGCGGCTGGAGGCGGTGGGCAACTGGCAGGCGGAGCGCAGGCGGCGGCGGCTGCTCCAGAACCAGCTGCAGGAGCTCAAGGGCTCGATCCGGGTGATGTGCCGCGTGCGGCCGACGGCGGCGGGCGAGGGCGCGGCGGTGGTGACGATTCCGACCCCGACAGACGTGCTGGTGGCGCAGCCGGGGACGCGGGAGGGGCGGCGCTCGTTCGCCTTCGACCAGGCCTTCGGGCCCGGGTCGGGGCAGGAGGCCGTCTTTGAGGAGGTGGGGCGCACAGACAGACCGACCGACGCGCGCGCACAGACGCGGAGCACAGACACACATCTCCCCATATCCCCTCAGGTCGAGCCGTGCGTCGAGTCGGTGCTCGACGGGTTCAACGTCTGCATCTTCGCCTACGGTGCCGGCCGAGTGCTAGCTTGCGCACCCGCGGACACACGCTCAGCGCGGCGGGAGGGAGAGGGGCCGTGTCCCTCCCTTTGCGTCGCCCTTTCCCCACCGCCGGCGCTCCCGCAGACGCCCGCGTCGGAGGGCGTGCTCCGTGCTGTGCGTGCCGTCACCCCCCCCCCCCCTCCCCCCCTCCCCTCTCGCAGGCCAGACTGGCTCGGGCAAGACCTTTACCATGGAGGGGTCGTCGCGGGAGGAGGGGCTGGCGGGCATCAACCCACGCGCGCTGCGCCGCCTCTTCGAGATGATCGCCGAGCGGAAGCAGCTGGCGGCGATGGGCGGGCGCGGCGGCGGCGAGTCGGGCGGCTGGGAGTACGCTGTCTCGCTCTCCTACCTCGAGATCTACAACGAGAACCTGCGCGACCTGCTGGGCGACGTCCCGGCGGCGCGCGCGGGCGGCGCCGCCGCCGCCCCCAAGAAGGGCAAGGAGAGGGCCTCCCTCGACATCCGCTCCACTGGGGAGCAGGTCCAGGTGCTCGGGCTGAGCAGCCTGCAGGCAGACTTGTACTTGTTCCGCCCGCCCGCCCAGCCCGCACCCACCGCCGCATGCGAGCCAGCTGCCGCCGAGCCTTCCGCCGCCCTCCCCGCCCCCGCCCGCCCGCCCGCCCGCCCGCCGCCGCCGTGCAGCCCGCCTTCTTTAGCTGCTGGTGGGGACGGCTCCTCTCCCCCGACACACGTCCACGACGCGTCCGTGTGTTGACTCCGTGTGTGTTGGCACAGGTCTCGAGCGCCGACGAGGTGGAGGAGGCGCTGCGCCGCGGCGGCGGCCGCCGCTCAGTCGCGGCGACAAAGTGCAACGCCTCGTCGTCACGATCGCACCCAACCCTAGATGCAGAGAGCTTGCAAGCTCTGCCTTCGCGGAGAGAGCGCCGCCACGCGCCAGTCGACGAGTCCGCCGAAAGAGTCCGCCGCAAGCCGCGTGGCCGCCGTGGCCGCGCGATGAGTCGATCACACGGCCTTCTCGAGGCTGCAGCCCCCGCCTTCCGCCGTCTCGACGCCCTCCCCTCCCGCTGCCTCGCCAGGCACTCGATCTGCGTCGTGACGGTGACTGGCCGGCAGGCCGACACGGGCGCCACCACGCACGGCGCGCCGCAAGCCTCGGGCGTACGCCGGAGGGGGGAGAGAGAGAGGGCGCGGCTCACCCCCTCGAGGAGCTGCGACGTAGGCAAGCTGCACCTCGTCGACCTCGCCGGCTCGGAGCGCGTCAAAAAGTCGGACGTGTCGGGGCAGGCCACAGTAGAATGCTCTAGACTCGTGTGCTCTCCCCCCCCCCGCCCCCCGCTCACATTGGGAGGACGCCACGTGAAGAGGGAACGCCGTGTTCCGGCTGCAGTGCCCCCGCTCGGCACGCTCCTATCGAATACCGCGTCTCCGTCGAGGCGGCACGCGCTGTCCATCTCACTCCTCCCCCTGAATCCCCCCCCCCCCCCTCCCACCCTGCAGGCAGGGCATGCTGGAGGCTCAGGCCATCAACAAGAGCCTCTCCGCGCTGGGCAACGTGATGGCCAAGCTACAGGAGAAGGCGAAGCACGTGCCCTTCCGCGACTCGAAGCTGACGCAGCTGCTCGCCGACTCGCTCGGCGGCAACTCCAAGACCTTCATGTTCGTCAATATCAACCCGTCTGCCGAGGCGCCGCCGCCACCCAGACCTCCCGAGACGCTTCCGCACCGCTCTCTGCCGCCGCCACCCATTCCACCGCCCGCGGCGGGCGCGGTGCCCCTCCTCGACCCTCCCCGTTCGCCCTGGCGGAAGGCGGCCTCCGAGTCGCTCTGCTCGCTCGAGTTCGGGATGCGAGTGCGCAAGGTGGAGCTCGGGCGGGCGAGCGGCCGCCGCGTCGAGGGCGCCTCTCTCGCGGAGCTCAAGGAGGCGCGCGGCGCGGAGGAGCGCGCCGTCTCCGAGCTGCGCACTGCGGAGGCGCGCACCCCGACCCCGACCCCGCTCCCTCCGATTCCCTCGCCGCCGACCTCTTCCCCGTCCGCCGGCGATGCCGTCGCCACCTCGGCCGCCTCCGCTGCCGCCCTCACCGCCGCTGCCGTCGCAGGCGCGGCTCGCGAGGCTGGAGGGCGAGGCGAAGGAGGGGCGGGAGGCGCAGGCGGCGATGGAGGCCGAGCTCGCCGAGCTGCGCCAGCGCAAGGAGGCGGACGCGCTGCTGCTCGAGCAAGGCGCCGACAAGCAGCGCACCCAGCTCGCCGACGAGCGCAAGCGCGCCGCCGCGACCGAGGCGGCGCTGCGCGAGGCGCGCGCGAAGCTCGAGGCGTCCGAGGCGGAGCTGCGCAAGCTGCGGAGCGACGGAGTGCGCGAGCTCGCGTCGGCGGCACGCGAGCTGGCCGCGCCCGCCCGGCCGGTGAGCCAGGAGGCCGCCGCAGCGCTGAGGCAGAGCGCGGCGGTGTCCCTCGGGCAGTACGAGCCGTCGGAGCGCGAGCGGCCGGCCGAGGTGGCGGCGCTTTTCCGCGGCTCGGCCGTCAACCTCAGCGCGTCCATCCAGTCCGAGATGGGGCGCCCACCTGCGGCGCCACCTGCGGCGAGGGAGCCCGCCGCGCCCGCCATGTCGACGGCGAACCTCCTCGACATGGACTCGTCGGCGCTCTGTGCTGCGCGGCCGCTCCTTCCCGAGGGCGCCGCCGAGCTGTCTTCTCTCGCCGAGGGCGCCGAGGGGGAGGCTGAGGCCGCCGCACCGCGCGCCGCACCGCGCCGCTCCCCGCGCCTCTCGTCGCCCGCCCCGGCGTCCGGCAGCGGCGCCACGCCGTCGCAGCGCTACACGCCGTCGCACCTGGTGCGGCCGCGCGGGTCGCAGCAGTCGTCGCGCAAGGTCAAGTTCCGCTTCTCGGACGAGTCGCGGCAGGTCAGAGTCCGCCTCTCGGAAGAGGAGGGCGGGCAGGCGGAGGAGGAGGACGCTTTCCCCGCCTTTGCCCTCGACAAGGAGGACCGGACGCCCAACGCCGCGCCGCCGCCCCGCCCCGAGGCGCACGGCAAGCGGCTGCGCGGCGCGAACGGTGCCTTCAAGTTCGAGCCGCTCGGCGGCGGCTTTGCGGCGCCGTCCCTCGGCCGCGCCTTCGCAGGCGGGGCCGCGAGGCGACCTCTGGGGGGGGCGCCCGCGCAGCGCGGCGGCGGCGGCGCCATCGCAAAGGCGCGCAGTGACGCGGCGCGCGCTCACCGTGGCACTCCCCCCCTGGCGGGCTAAGCGGTTCGAGCGCTGCCACAATAGGTCGCGGGCAGCCGGCGCCACTCGTCGATCTCGGCCCACGTGCAGCGCGCGAGCAGCCGGCGCGCCTCGGTCGCGCCCGCCGGTCGGAGGGCGACGTTCCACGCGCCCGAGTGGAAGTGAGGGGTTGCGTGAGAGGGAGGCGTGTGCGGACGTGAGGGCGGCGGAGTGAGGCGACGGGGCGCCTACCGCCGGCGGCGGCGGTGCCTCGAGCGTGTCACAAACAGCCAAGCGATTTGGCCGCTGCCCTGGGGAGGGTTGTGGAGGGCGGGGCTGCTTTGCGGCGGCCTCACTTGAAGTGGGCGGGGGGCGAGATCTCGAGAAGCCGAGGTGCTCGCGAGAGAGACTTTGCATGTTGTGAGTTGCACGCGTGTGACTGTGAGCTGGCGTGGGCGTACACCTGGCCGGCCCCGGCCAATGCAATCCGCATCTCATCCATCTCGACAGCTTCTCTCGCTAAATAACAAGGGTGAAGGCAGAATCTTCTTCTTGCTTGTTGGTTTTTCATTATCTGGAAAAAAATACTTTCGATTATTACCATCGGCAGCATCCACTTGCATCTAATTCTAAAGTCTAAAGAGTTTAAGTGCGCTGTGCGGTACCCTAGTAGCTTCCCTAGTGGCCAGTGACACGGACACAGGTACACCAAGTAACACGTACGTATACGGGCGTGCTATGTGTAATAAATAAATGGCGGGTGCGCGTGCGTGCGCGTGCGCCGGGCCGTCACTTGATGGCAACTTGAGACGTAATGGTGCGCACAGTCTCAAGTTGCCGTTGTCTGTGCAGCTACTGGGGCCCAAGCACCACGCATCAGAGAGAGTGGCTCTATCTGTAGCCGTACCTCAGCCCAGCCCACCCGCCTCCCAAGCATGCTGTAGTTTGTGAGAGCCATGGTTGTCGCCTCCACCAAAGATGTCAAACGGGCGGTCAGAGAGCCAGTCAGCCAAAAGCGGTGGTTCTAATGGCAGCGGCGGCTCCAAGGGTGGGTGCGACGGAGGCGAAAGCGGCGATGGCGGCGGTTGCATGGGAGGGGACAAAGGCGGCGGCGGCGGCGAATAGTAGCGGCCAACGTCCACTATTGAGAGTGCGAAGGAGGGCCCGCTCACCTCGCCGCCGCCCCAGATTGGTATTCCGTGGTGGGGGTGCGTCTCTGGCAGCCGGCCCGCCGCGACCTCCGCCATGTCGTCCAGCCACGCCAGCTCCTCCTCAGTGTGCACCCCTCCAAAGTCGACCCCTCCGGACAGCGCGAGGATGCGCGGGATCTCAAAGTGCAAGTGCATGTCGAGCGCGGTGACTTGCACGCTGAGGCCAAGAAAGCGCAGCGCATCGAGGTTGGACAGGTCTAGCCGCGCCTAAAGTGACGAGCACAGTGACGCGTGCGGATTCGAGACTCCAAAACTGCAGCCGAAGCGGCCAATGCCACCTCACGATCGAAGAGGAGCCGGCTGAGATTCAAGCGGAGCGTCACCTTGGCCTGCATGCACGGCAGGTTGGGTCAGCCTCGCTCTGACGCGGCCCTCTCTCTTCTCGGTCCCGGGCGGAGCCTCGGCTCGCGCAGGCACGGTCAAGCGCTCTGCTGGGAGGCCGGTGATCAAGGCCTCGTTCCTCGATACAAACGCCCCCGCCTCCATGTCCCACTGCTCCTCGCACGCCCAAGTGGCTAAGGTCTGGTTATCTTCCAGCCGTCCTGCCACATCCTGCAACACCTCTGCGGTGTGTGTGGACGTCGCCTGGCCGGGTACGCACCCGACCGAGAACGCGGACTTGACGTAGGCGCGTGTGTCGGCCTCAACGGTAATCGCAAGGTGTGTGGGGTGGACTGCTTTCATTTCGCTCTGCGTTCCTCGCACATGGATGGAGTGCGAGGTATCTCGACTGGTGTCTGTGAAGAGAGCGATATGCCATGCATACATCATGTCGAGAGAGAGAATTCTCTCTCTCTCTCTCTCTCTCTCTCGCATACATCATGTCATTAGGCAGCGGAAAAAAAAACCCCGGGCCACGACACAGGTGATGGCCACCTTCTGGCCTCTCGCGGGCGGTAAGCGCGGTGCCTGCAGGACAGTGAATGCCGCGACGGGATCGTTGGACGAGTACTGGCGCGTGAGCGAAGCCGAGTGCCAGGCCATGTGCTTCGCCAGTCCGGAATGCATCGCGATCGATTACCATTTCCCTTACGAACGCTGCGAACTCCACAAGGAGCCCATACGGCACGTCCTCCCGATGGGTGAGCACGCCTGCCGCCTCAAACCCCCCAGATACGGCGGCGCGGTCACGGCGACCCTCAAAAACCTCAACTCGGAGATGATTCGCCGGCCCGCGCCTCCCCTTCCGACGCCGCCGCCGTCGCCGCCGTCACTGCCGCCGCCGACGCCGCCGCCGTCGCGACCACCGTCGCCGCCGCCGCCACCTTCGCCGCCGCCGCCGCCGTCGCCGCCACCTTCGCCACCTCCGCCGCCGTCGCCGTCGCCGCCGCCGCCGCCGCCACCTCTGTCACCGTCGCCGTCGCCGCCGCCGCCGCCGCCACCTCCGCCGCCGTCGCCGTCGCCGCCGACGCCGTCCCCGCCGCCGCTTCCACCGCCGCCGTCGCGTCCGCCGAGTCCGCCTCCCAACCGCTGCCTCGAGGCGCAGCTCCTGCAGGCGCCCGCCGCCGACTTTGGGCCGTGCTCGCACCTGCGTCTCGCGGAGCTGCGGCGGCAGTCGCTCCGGGGTGCGTCCTTTGACGGCGTGGACATGCGCGGCGCGCTCCTGGACGGCGCCGATCTGCGCGGGGCGAGCATGCGCAGCGCAGTGATGGCGGGCGCGTCTGCCAGGGGCGCGCGGCTAGAAGGCGCCGTCATGGTGAGCTCGAGCCTCTCGCACGCCAACTTATCGCGCGCCAGCCTGCGCGGGGCCGACCTGACGATGGCGGCGGGCGAAGGCGCGAGCTTCGAGGCCGCGGACCTCTCCGACGCCTCCCTGCTCGTGGCGACGCTGCGCCGCGGGCTGTGGGCGGGCGCGGACTTGCAGCGCGCCAAGCTCGCGCACGCGGACCTGTCGCACGGCGACTTCCGGTCCGCCGACTTCCGCGGCGCCGTCCTTACCGATGCGTCCTTCCGTTCGGCCAATGTGGAGGCGGCCGACTTTCGAGGTGCGATCCCATTCGCCGCCCACGCCCACCGACCTGCCCTCGCGACCTGCCCGCGCCCGTTACCCGCCCACTGCGCGCCCCTCTCGTCCGCCTCGCATGCGCGCAGGCGCCATCGACACGCACCGGGCGCACTGGGAGGGGGCGGTCGGCAGTCCGATCGGCATCGAGCTCGACATGTTCCTGCACGTCGGGCTCTGACCGTGAAACTTTAAGAGACCCGTGCCGCCCGCCGCCCGGGGCGCGCTCCGTCCCTCCGGGGGCGGGAGAGGGGCTCCAGCGTTCCTGCAGCTT